CTGTGCCAAGCTACTAACAGCAGAATCACTAGAGTCACTAGAACCAAGGCAGCCATGATCATTCGGATGAGATTTTCAACTGTGTGACTTTCGTGCTGGGAGGCTGTGGGTTCTGCATAAAGAAGTCAAAGATGTGAGACCCAATCAAAGTCTTCTGATAATAAATGACTGCACACCCAGTCTCCCATCTTCTCCTTGACAGAACTAGAACTTTTGTGTCTTTCTCTTCATCTAGAATTCTCCATCTCACCTGATTCTCACATGGTCATGTTTTTCATGTTCTAATGGTCTTAGCTTCCCCAGTGAATCAAATAATTTGTGTAGAGTATATAAAGTGCTAAAGAGAGCTGAATAATTTTTATTTTACTATGAATGCATATCATTCTCATGACATTTCACCTTGCAGATCCAGCAAAAACATTTCCTGCTGCTTTTAGGTGGGGATTAAGTCAGCTTTCCCCAATTCCCCAACTTCACAGGACGCTTTACTAACCCATTATGATCTCACACATTGCTGTACCTACCTCTCATGAGAGCTCTACTTACCATTCTTAGTGTGGATGTGAGACTGGTCCTTGGAATCTGCCAGAGATAGATGGAGAGATGAGATTTGAACTTCAAGCACTTGACTATAGCCTGTTGGTTTCTACCTCAGTCTGGACTTTAAGTACTTCAACTGGATATCACTTTGTTTCAGACCACATTTGTGCCTCTGGATTCTTGTTTGTCTGTCAAGATCACAGCTCAGGTACATCCAGCCTCAACAAATCATATTATTGAATACAGGAAAGTATTGAGATTCTGAGGAAATAAAACTACCTGATTGAGTCTGTGCACCATTTTTTGCCACAAGCCTTTGGTGACCAGCTGTTATCATAAGACTGTGCTCTTTATCTCGGGAAATATAAGCAAGAGGAGAATGAAGGACTGAGGATGCCATTGGAGACTGTTCTCATTGGGTTTCGCCAACTTAATACAAGCTAGAGTCATCTGGGAAGAGGCAACTTAAATTGGACATATGCCTCCAACATATGGGCCTGTAGACAAGTCTGAGGAGGAATTTTTTTGATTGCCTGATAGTTAATGTGGGCTACCTAAGCCCACTGTGGGTGGTTCTAACTCTGGGTAGTTGGACCTTGATGACATAAGAAAATAGTCTGAGCAAACCACTGGAGAGTAAACCTGTAAGCCGTGCTCCACTATGGCCTCTGCTTTAGTTCCTGCCTTAAGTGCCTACGTCTAAATCTCTTCATGATGGACTGTAAAATATAAGAAGAAATAAAACCTTTCTTCCACATGTTGCTTTAGATCATGGGGTTGTATCACAAAAATAGAAACCAAAGCAGTACAGAGACAATGTCTGACCACTTCATATACTGTCTGTTCTCAAGACCTCCTGCTTCTGCTAAATTCCAATGAGTCACTGAGGGGAGTAATTACATCAGGGGATTCTTAAGGCTGGTGCTCTATGAGGTGTGAAATTCTTTGGGACTTTTGAGTTTCATTATTTTACTTTGAGGTTAGAATGCTTCTCAGAGCAGATCCATGGGTGACACTCTGCATTAAGAAAGGTAGTGTCAGAGGTTCTTACCTGAGACCAAGAGGTGAAGGGAGTCACTTGATTTTGACCACAACTGGGGATGGTTCCTAAAATAGCCATAGCATCTGAATGTACCATTGTGGATGATTGTCACATTATCCAGAACAAAATGAGCTTGAAACTCCCTA